GCGGCCCCTTTTTATATTTCATTTCATTCATCGTTTACACGACACCGCCCGTAGGTCTTATCATCCTTACGAGACTTGTCACCGCTCTCCGAGGCCTCATCGGGCGCTCGGGCCGGAGTCCAACATCCCGCCCCTGGACTCATACCCATCATCCCGTAGGAAGGTAAGGTCCATTCGGGGTCCTATCTTAAGTGTTACCGCTGTCGGGAGCCTCGTAAGGTCTCCGGTTCGGATTCCACCCTAACCCGTGATCACGATGTAAGTCCATGCTATCCAACCCCGCTCTCTAGAGTCGGGAAGGGCCATGGTCCTTACTAATTACCAATACTCAATCGACTATCCTCAAAGACTACCGAAATACACCCGTAGGTCAATCCTATATCTAGGATCAATTTATTATTCACTTTATCTTGGGTATCCCTTAAGGCCTACCCCTAGCATCACTTAGCTCATACTTATCCACCTTAGTATCTCTTAAGACTACTTAAGGCTAAACATTTCACAATCCAAACCTTGGATCAATTCTACATATTCTCATTCCTACACCCCGACTAGTATCTTAATACTAGTCGGATAAATTCCAACAAAAACCAATTTTCAGTTCATAGTCATATAGACAAATTCCAAACTAATTTTCCCTTGAAAATATAGTTCACATCAATATACAAAATATAACTTTTAATCACTCATATACTCTTATATGAAGTTAAAATTATATTTCAACATATAGTTAATTCCTTTATCAAGCCAACATGCTCATACACATAATCATACACAATTTATTCTTAAATTTGTATATTATGCACCTTTTCCTTATAGACAAAAGTCTTCTCATTCTTAGGCATTATTAATCATTAATAATCCTTAAAAACATATTTAATTACTTTAGGTAATCTCATGAAATTAACTCACTAATTATAAGTAATATAGTCAGCCATCCTCACCTTATGAAGTGCTGAAATAGTTGCCTTTGTTAAGTCCTCCGACCAATCCCCGTTCTCAGCCGATTAGAAGCTAAAACTGGACTGCCTGGACAAAAGCCGGCCGGCTTTGGCAAAAGCCGGGCGATGTTCATCTGTCTGCAACACGAACAACTTCTTCTTCTTGGCGGTTTCCGGCGGTTTCAACTCCTATCGATTCCACGACCCTTCTAAGTTAAATACCACCACTTATAACATTATTCTACACTTTTAAACATGTAGAACTTCATGTTTAATCCACCATATGATTTCTTAAAAATCATACAAAATAATACTAGTTAAAGAACTACTAGTTGTGTTCTTACCTCAAGAACCACTCTTTTGTGTTGGGTCTCCTCTCCTATTGCTTTCCTCCAGTTAGAGTCTTTGTGAAGAACCTTTCCCAGAGCTTCTCTCCTTGCTTTGGTCGTATGGTGAATGAGCAAGAGGGGATGATTGCTTCTCAATCAATTGCTCCAATGATGTGAGGTAATAGGGACATGGGGTGTGAGTTTTGTCTCTAGGAGACGTCCCCCCTAGTCATCCGCCCCTCCCCTTTTTTGTTCTTGTCCCCCTCCCTAATGTTTGAGTCTAATTAGCTTGTAGAATATCCCAATTGGGTGTAGGAAATTCCTCCCAATTATTCCTGCTATTTTTGGCATGTTGGGCCAAAATAGCACTCGGGTTGTCCAAATATTTTTATCAACTTTGGTTGGCACTTTATTGGGCTCCTATAATTATTATGACAACCCAACTAAATATTTGGTAGCTCATTCTCAATATTATGGGCTCGATAAATAATTTAATTAATCGCACATTAAATAAATATGTCAATCAATTACATGAATTTTATTCGCTAGGAAATTCAAATACATATCAACCTTTAAATCCAAGTACATCTGAGTGCGGTGTCACAACAACGTTTACAAAAGGTCAATGTTATTGGGCACTAAGCCAATCGCGCGTTACTAAAACTAGTATGTGCATAAGACTATTCTCATCGTAGAATAGAGCTTATTTGGGGAGCAATAGTTAATCATGTCATATCTCATAACTCGTAAGCATTAGAAATTGAACTACAATTTCCGTCTCAATTCTGGTACAGGATCTTAATTTTCAACCACGGTACAGAACTTTAATTTTTTGTTCCAATCTCACTCTGGAACCTTAGTTTATCATCCCAATCTCAGTCTTGTACCCTAATTTTCTGTCGTAGTTATGATTTGATAACCAAACGATCACAAGGCCTTATCTAGGGATGGCAATGGGGTGGGTTTGGGGCGGGGTACACTCCCCCATCCTCCGCCCCAAGTCTAAAAAGTTCCCCCATCCCCGCCCCATCCCCCATTACTCCCAGACCTGCCCCATCCCCGCCCCACCCTGTTGTCCCCCACGGGTGCCCGTGGGTGCCCCCATATAGATTTAAGTTATCGTATTTGCATATACTTTTAATCTCTTATTATAAATATATGTAGTATGATTCCAATGAGAACGATGCTTAATGTAGGAACACTCACATTTAATCCAATTTATACACAATAGAGTCCTTCTAGTGCACATTTGGACTTTACTCACATTTAATCCAATGTGATACACAATAGAGCCATTCTAGTGCACATTTGGACTTTGCTCAATACAAGCTAATATAAATAATCACGGTGTCACTTTTGTAAATATTATGCTAGATACGAAAAAGTGCATTGTGCGTGCCCATTGTGTTTCACATTGGGGGTAAATGTGGTGTTCGCACGTTCTCACGTTAAGCATTTTTCTCATTTGATCATAAACCTATATATATATATATCTACACACACAACGATATATGATACACACACACACGCAACACTGAAGTATTGTGTTTGTTAAAAGTTAATACCGTCAATTTTAATAATTCTTTAATTTGAATAAGTTTTGTGAATTGAAGACAGATAAAGTAAATATATAAGTAAACATATTATCGTCATGTACGTCGTTTCAAAATTCTCAAAAATTATAATACAATTAATTACATATTACATATAAATGTGTGTGTATTTATTTACTCACTTTCTCACTCTTAAAACTCATATAACATTTATGATAAATATTTTTAATTATTACTAGCTTATTATTATTCTAGTATAATATGTATTAATTCGTTAACCATGATTAAACTGTATACAATTATGTATGTCTATATGTATATGTGTTTGTTATATACTACATATAATTAAATTTATATATGTGTACATTATTTTTATAAGTGTGTGTGTGTGTGTGTGTTTGAATATATATTTATAACGGGGACGGGGCGGGGACGGGGCGTGTGTAGCAATACCCATCCCCGCCCCATATTTTAACGGCGTAAAAAGATCTCACCCACCCCTGCACCCACCCCGCCCCAAGCCCCGCCCCATCCTTCCCCCACGGGACGGTTCCCCATGAGTCCCCGTCCCCATTGCCATCCTTAGCCTTATCTACCCTTACCAACCACACATAGCTACCAAAAAATAGAGTCGGGTATGGGTGAGGAATACATTATTGTAGATTAGAGTTCAATCCCCTCATACAACCTTTTCTAATGGAGGGCTAGATGGGTTCAACGGGTCTAATGATTTAAAAACGGGGTATGAACTGGATTTCAAACCTGACTAATGGGCGGGTTTAATTTGGACTTGATTACGAGTTAAGCTAGGAAGTAAAGTTAGTGGCATCCAAATTAGAAAAATGATCATATTTTTTAGACAAAATATATCGTACAAAATGAGACAGAAGAAATACTTAATAGGAGAATTAAAAGAACAAAGGTCCAAAATAATTTATCATTATTTAAAGAAATAAATAATAAACAACTCACTGTTTAAGACTTAGGGTACTTAATACTTCCTCCGTTTCTTAAAAGTTGTAATATTAGAATTTTTGCACTATTCACACAATTTACTTTGACCATGATTTTCTACTAATATTTATAATCAAATTATTGTGTATAAAATGATATCAAATTTCTATTCATGTGAGTTTTCATGGTGTGCATTGGCGAACGTGAAAGTCAGATTGTTGCAACTTTTAAAGAACGGAGGATAGTATATAAAAATTCACTGTTTTGAATTGTTTAATTATCCCTACTAGATTATTAGTACTCGATTTTGTAAAATATCAAACGATAAATTTCAGACACACTAGTTAAACAATTTCTTTATTATGTGATGTGAATCCAAAATATAAATGTTTGTTGACATTAAATTACACAATTGATTTACTTATTACTTTCTAAAAATAATTTACAGCACAAATAATAAACTTTAACTTATTTTAGCATTAATACAAATATAATATGCACCATCTATTCTATTTAACAATATGATATTACTCTAAAAACAAATAATCAGGTACATACTATTGTACTATACTACTACGTAGTATTAGAACTCCTTTTGGCTCAGGAACACCATTTATAGCAATTTAAAAATCGAATCTTTATTCCGATACGATTCAAGTGGTTAAACAAGACAAAAGTTATTTAAATATTATTCATAAATGTGCACCTCTTAAACTCATTATCTTCAAATAATTTGATAAAATATCATATATCATGGTATTATTTTTCTATTTTCAAATAACTTTCCTTTGATTTGCCAGTTGCTACACTTTAATGTGTCAATACTTTTTTGTAGGTTACTTCAATTATAAATTTAAAGTTATGTTTCAATTGTTAAACTTGGAATGTAATAAATTTAAATGTCATTGTGAATATATTAATATATTTATTTTTGAACAAAAAATGAACATAGAGCTCTACATTAGTGAAAAAAATTGTCTCGCTACAGTAGCAAAAATAAATTCACCCCCTACACTAACGAAAAATAATACACTCTTGTTGACTTGAAATCATGAATCCGTCCCTGCATACACTAAAGGGGTGTTTGGAACTGATTATGTTTCTGCTTCTTTTGTAAAACAGACTCAGAATCAGTTTTTAGTAGCTGGTCACTCATAGATTCTAAAAATCCGCTTTTAGTAAAAAATTAGAGCAACAGAAGTACTTCTACACATCCATCCAAATACTGCAACTGCTTCTACTCCTTGGAGGAGAAGAAGCAATTTTAAAAATCAGATTTAAACATCCCCAAGAATCAGATTTAAGAGTCACATCCAAGTTGATGTATGAAAGACATGATATAATTTTGTGTCTAAATAAATACAGGCTATACTGGACATTTGATTAAGATCAGAAGAATGTCAAAACAAAACTAAAAAGCAATGATCTAAAGGAAGTGGATGGATGCATTTGGTGAGGATCTCGGGTAAGTTAGCAAGGTTTGACCTATCTTGACAAATTCTTCTGTGGTTTCTGTAGTTGCCACAATTGACATCTTTTCCAAGGCTGTTGCCCTCTTGAGAATGACTCGTGCCAATGTAAGCAATGGTTCACCGCCAAGAACTTGATCTGCCAAGCCAATCAACTCAACCGTCTTCAGGTGCAATAAGTCACACCCTAAATCATCCCTTGCAGGTGGTTCCCAACTATCATCCACCTACAAAGACAACAAATCTAACCTAATTATGTATTGAAGCTTCTACTTTAAAAATCCCTGCATAGGCACTTCCATTATCCACTTATATTTTTCAAAAGACCTCACTTAGAAGCTAGACCCCCCCAATATGTTACTCGCTCAATGGCTAGCTAGCACTTGTTAGAATAAAGTGAAACTATAAGAAAAGATGACTTTGCAAATCATTTTCAGATGGAGGGAGTAGTTTCTTTCAACGGATCAACCTTTATTTTCAAATCAAAATTGGTGTACACGATTATTATCTTTATATATCTAGACCCATACATATTCAATTACAGTACTATATATATGAGATTTTCACATTTATTTCTAAAACACTACTTCATCCTGACTCGAGAAACAAGTATGGAGTATAATATTTTATAAACCTCCTCCACCCCCACCCCATCTTTTGGACTAAACAAGAGTTAAGAAAATTGAGTTAAGCAAAGATCCATAAGAAAACAACATTCTGATAAAGAGTAACTGGTAGAGTGGTAGTATATTCAAATATTACAAAAAGAATACTGCATGTGTGAACCACATAAAATGAAACTGAATGAATAATTATTCATCCCAAACATGCATGCTTACCCCATATGGATCATCGCATTCTATGACCAATGCCACCAGATCAGGAGAAGATTCAAGCAGACTTACAATGGCAGAAACATAATCCTCACCATCAATAAATGTATTTATTTTCAAACTCTTTCGTGTAGATTTGGGAAGCTGCCAACTAGCATCCAGCGCCAATGCTGCTATAGCCTAGTATACATGTCGCAGAAAAATACATACAGAATATATAATGTAAGATCTGCTTGCAAATATACACATTTATGCCACACATAACAAATCACTTTGATAACATGATTTGTTCTTGACACTAAAGAAAGTAAACTCACATAGTATTCGTCATGGTGAAATTCATAAGAGATTCTGTTATGGATAAGTTTTGTACTGCCATACACAAAAGGCAACCTATCTTCATATACTCCATATGTCCCGAAATAATGCAGCACTTTCAATTTTAGGACACCCCTTTTTTTTTCATTTCCTGAAATGATGCTAGTATGTAGACAAAAGTGAAGTTGTTTTTCTTAAACTCATAAGTAATGGAGTAACAAAATCCTAAACAGTGAACCAAAATAAAGTTTTTTTTTTACATTTGTACCAAAATGACTTGATTTTTTTTAGGGCAAATGTGATACTAAGGATGTTTTTACTTGGACTGCAATCTGTCCCAAAGCAAACCATATCAGACCTGACTTGGATAGTTATAAAAATACAAAGAAACCAGACCAGACTAGACCAGACCAATCCAGACCAGCAAATTACAGTCCAAGTAAAAACATCCTAACTAGTTCAGCAATTCCATGGACATATCTGTCTTGTACACAATAAACAACCAACTCTTGTATGACATAGTTGAAAAATCATTTGACAAATAAATTCCAATAACCCCATCCTAATTGAAAAACATTTATAAACAAACGTTGGTACAGGGTAGAAGCCAAATAATCAATTCAGATCACTTTGGGGAATTTTGGCTAAAAGATCATACCCCTAGGAGCTCATGACCAAGCTCAAGCTCCTTGACATGTTGAATGTTTTCAAAGATTTCTTTCGTATTATTGAGAACATCCTCATACATTGGACCGTAAGTATATCCAGTGAATCTAAATTGAGCACTAACAAGAGATGAAAGGTTAGTGAGCTTCAACTTTCTTTCTATAGGATACAACGAAAGAACTAAAGATTTTAGATAGGGGGCCGAGATCTCAAGGAAATTTTCACTTTCTTCTTCGTAGGAATCATGCACTTGAAGCTTATAAAGCTTTGGAGAGTTTATCTTCAAACAAGTAAATCCCCAACAAGCCCGCAGATTCAAGCTATTCAAAACTGAACAACATGAGAGTACTTTTTCAACCACACTCTGAGGCAAATCCACATTTGAAATCTCTAATGAAGTCAAAGACTGCCACTCGATTTTTCTTTCAGGATTCAAAATGCATCCACGCAACGACAATGATGTCAAGGAAGGGTATGAATACATCATGTCACAAAGAGTATAGAAATCTTCCGTGAAGCTTAGGTTAAAATAGATTTCTTTCACCTTGTTTTTTGAAGCAAACTCAAGCCAGTTATCAACATCGGATGAAAAACATTCCTGGTACGGGAATCTAACTGTCAACTTCTCCAGATACTTACTCTTACGAGTAGCAAGGGTCTTATGAACCCAAGCCACAAAGTCACTTATTTTCTTAGTTTCCTCATCACTGTTCTCCCAGAAATAGAACTCAAGCTTGGGCAACTCTGCCCAGAGATATCTCCATCTTTTACCCAAAACACTCGTAATAGCAGCTTTCTCCAAACCCAGAAAAGAAAGGATGTGAATAACTAAGCAATCTGGCAATGCACTGAGCCTATCAATTGAACACTTAATCTGTTCATTGGAAGCATCATTATGCTCTGAAAGAATTATTACATTTTTAGCTCCCAAATCTCCTACTCCGCCAAAATCCATTTCTCCCGATGGTTGTGTTTTGTTGGGTAAGTTTTTGTCACTCACATGAAGTAGAAGAGCAACAAAATACAGGCTGATTCCCAGATAAAAGCTTGACTAACCGCTGACCGGAGTGATGCCGGGCAAAGCCGTTTTCCTAGGCTTGCTTTGCCTTTCCCAAACGCCACCTCCAGACAGATCGGCTCCTGGACCTGATAAGCCGAAAATTCTCAGTTCTCATGTGTATTAGGATAGGAAGTTAATTGGGTTTGGCCGTTAAGAGTGAGTGAATATGGGCATATGGCTAGTTTTGATTTATTTCTAAGAATGCACTTAAACTTGTTTATTTCGGATTATCAGGTTTTCAGTCACTTTTTTCATCAAATAAATAATTTTTTATTTCTCACGCTGAATTGTCGAATATTAAGAAAAAATAAGGTTGAAAATATTTTTCTAGTTGTATTGGTTGAAGTTACTATAGACGACCATTTTAGAGTATGTTTGATAACATGAAATCGGTTGATTCGGCTGATTTTGTTGAAATTTATGAAGTTCAGACTGAAGTGACTGCATTGGCTGATTCTGCTAATTTAAGAAATAATTGTTTTTAAAATATATTTTATTAATAAAATAAAGAAAAATTATATGTAAAAACAGCTAAAATAATCATCTACTGTAAATTCAGCCAATACAGTCAGAAAAGTAACTTCAACCTTACTTTTTCTTATTATTACACAATTTAGCGCGCGAAAATAAAAGTTACGTCTAGTGAAAAAGCTGTCTGATAAGTCTGATAAGCCAAAAAACAGTGTTACCAATATATCTCCGAGATTAGCAGTTAGAATTATCTCTCTTATCCTTGTATTTATTTCTAGAGGTCATATTAGTACTCGAAGATGCATAAAAAGTGTCAAATAAGTTTTTACTGTCCGGCCGTCGCCATTTGAAGTGGTTCCCGGTGGAATTTTTTGATGATTTTTTTTAGCATCTTATTTATTAAGTCTAGTTTACTCATACCAAATTTTAGCTAAAAATTCAATCGGGAAGGCATTCAAATGAATTCTTGAAGATAACTACGCTTTTAACTGCGTAGTTATCTTCAAGAATTCATTTGAATGCCTTCCTGGTAGAGTTCTTAGCTAAAATTTGGTATGAATAAACTAGACTTAATGAATAAGATGCTCAAAAAATTTCGTCAAAAAATTCCACCGAAAACTGCCCCAAATGGCAACAGCCGGACAGAGCCTCCTATATAAGGATTTATTTGACCCTTTTTATGCAACTTTGAGTACCAATCCGACCCTTACCTCTTTATTTCTAAGATACACTTAACATCTTTCAGTTAACTTTTTCAAATACGTATTTTTTATTTCTCACGCTGAATTGTGTAATAATAAGAAAAAGTTAGATTTTAGTTATTATTCTGATTGTGTTGGCTGAAATTACTGTAGATAATCATTTTAGAACCTATTTGGTAACATGAAAATCGGTTGATTCGGCTGATTATGCTGAAATTTATGAAGTTCTAGCTGAAGTGTCTGCATTGGCTGATTCTACTGATTTAAGAAATAATTATTTTCAAAATATATTTTATTAATAAAATAAAGAAAAATTATATGTAAAAATAGCTAAAATGGTTATCTACATTAAATTCAGTCAATACAGTCAGTAAAGTAACTTCAACCTTTCTTTTTCTTATTATTACACAATTCAGTGCATGAAAACAAAAGTTATGTCTTTAGTGAAAAAGATGGCTGATAAGCTGAAAAACAAGTGTTACCAAAATAATTTAGTTCACTAATATAATTTAGTTCTATGCATAGTATGAATTTCTATTGAATTTCTTGAGTTCGGTTCGGTTTTGTTCGGTTTGTATCGGTTTTAGTTCGGTTTAATACAATTTAGAAGAAATACTATCAAACTTAAACCAAATTGCATATGATCCGATCGGTTCTTTTTGATTTGTTTGGTATAATTCGGTTAAACTAAACTTACCCCTAATAGTGAACAAGCCATTTAAAAGATTAAAGTCTAAAAATGGAGTTTGGTAGGCTAACTTTTCCTGTTAGACTTGAAGTTAAGTTCGGGTACAGATATGCCTTACCAATTATTCATGAATTAGTTTTCCCTGGTTGTTTACCCATGTTACTAAACTTAAATACTTTTGGATTTGACAAATTATGATATGTAGTGTTTTTTAAGCTTATGCACATGAAGTTCAGAACTTCGTTTACACCCAATCACCCCATTAAAATATCCCTTTGTACTGATCAATTGTTGGAGTTTTAACAATGATTAAATCTTGCGATAACTTCATATAGTTGTCTCCTTTGATATAATAATCGATAAATATCAAGGGCAATCACTTGAAAGGGTTGATTTATACATATCTAGACCTTTTTTGGTCATTGATAACTATATGTGAGTATGTGACATTATTAAGAGTTGAGAGCAAATATGGACTCAAGAACTTAAATTTACACATAATGTTAGGATATATTATCTTGGTCTGTTACTGTTCAGGGGCCCAAGACATTACCCAGTACGGAGCCCGTTCAGTGAGGTCCATTTCGAACCGTTTCGGCCATCTAGCCCAGCAGGCCTGCATTTTTTCCGTTGGGCCATTAGGGTGGCTTGCACCTCTTTCCCTTTCCCCTATAAATATGGGACATTCCCACATGTTTAGGGATCCTTTTTTTCTCTTCTTCCCCAACTTATTATTCTCTATAGCTAGCTTAGAACTCCATTAACGGTGAGGAGAGTCTAATGAGAAAAAGATGGCTTGGACATTAGCCTAAAGAGTCTCGTGGATTTTCTCCCTTTCAGATTTCCATGTAAAAACTAAAAACAGAGCATTCATACCAATTTATATCTATATTTATCAAATCGTGTTGGATTAAACTCAACACATAATGAGGATGAAAAGTCATTATACAATATTAAGAATGTTACAATCAAAAAATAATATTAAAAAAGTTGTATTTAAAGATGTTTTTCAAAATGTGTAATAAATAAGTTTAATGTTTTAATATATTTTACCGGCAATATTTAATTAATGGACGATTCGATTAATTTCACATAATATTCTTTTACTTTGGTATTTATTGTACTTAGACTTTATGATAGTCCGTTGATGTTTAATGTTCTTAATAGGGACATTTTACGTTGTATTTTCACTTGAATTCTCTTTTTAAAGCTCATCGCGTATGTATTAATAGATTTATTTTTGAATAAAAAATGACCGCAGAGCTCTACGGTCAACACTAGTGAATTTTTTTTTACCTCGCTACACTAGCAAAAATAAATTCACCCCTACACAGTTACACTAAAGAAAAATAACTCCCTCCGTTGACTTTAGATCATGGATCCATCCTGCATATACTAAAAAGCAATGATCTAAAGGAAGTGGATGGATGCATTTGGTGAGGATCTCGGGTAAGTTAGCAAGGTTTGACCTATCTTGACAAATTCTTCTGTGGTTTCTGTAGTTGCCACAATTGACATCTTTTCCAAGGCTGTTGCCCTCTTGAGAATGACTCGTGCCAATGTAAGCAATGGTTCACCGCCAAGAACTGCATCTGCCAAGCCAATCAACTCAACCGTCTTCAGGTGCAATAAATCACACCCTATATCATCCCTTGCAGGTGGTTCCCAACTATCATCCACCTACAAAGACAACAAATCTAACCTAATAATGGAATTCGAACATCAAATAATCAAATCTTGGATTGATCTAGATAAATATCATAGTTAAATGCTGCGTAGTATCTCTTTAGCTTATGTATTGAAGCTTCTACTCTAAAAATCCATGCATAGGTACTTGCATTAGTCACTTGTACTTTTCAAAAGACCCCGCTTAGAAGCTAGACCCCCCTAATATGTTACTTGCTCAATGGCTAGCTAGCACTTGTTAGAACACTGAACTTATTAAGGTTACCTCTCAGGCTGTCACAGCTTGCCTTCAGTACAAAATCCAAATATAATAAAAAAATTAATATGCTAAATAAGTAGATAAAGTGAAACTATATTGACCAAGAAAAGATGACACTGCAATTTATTTTTGGGATGGAAGAACGAGTTTCTTTCAACCTTTATTTTGAAAACAAAATTGGTGTACACTATTATCTTTATATATCTAGACCCATATATATATATATATATATTCAATTACAGTACTATGTATGTATATATATATGAGATTTTCACATTTATTTCTAAAAAACTACTTCATCCTGACTCGAGAAACAAGTATAATATTTTATAAACCTCCTCCACCCCCACCCCTACCCCATCTTTTGGACTAAACAAGAGTTAGGCAAATGGAGTTAAGCAAAGTTTCATAAGAAAACAACATTCTGATAAAGAGTAACTGGTAGTAAATTGAATTATTACAAAAAGAATACCGCATGTGTTAACCACGTCAAATGAAACTGAATGAATAATTATTCATCCCAAACATGCATGCTTACCCCATATGGATCATCGCATTCTATGACCAATGCCACCAGATCAGGAGAAGATTCAAGCAGACTTACAATGGCAGTAACATAATCCTCGCCATCAATAAACATATTTATTTTCAAACTCTTTCGTGTAGATTTGGGAAGCTGCGAACTAGTATCCAGCGCCAATGCTGCTATAGCCTAGAATACATGTCACAGAAAAAAAATATACAGAATATGCAATGTAAGATCTGCTTGCAAATATACACATTTATGCCACACATAACAAATTACTTTGATAAACTCAAGAAAGTAAACTCTCACATATTTGTCATAGTGAAATTCATAAGAGATTCTGTGATGGATAAGTTTTGTACTACCATATACAAAAGGCAGACTATCTTCATATACTTCATATGTCCCAAAATAATGTTGCGCATTCAATTTTGGGACACCCCGTTTTTTTCATTTCCTGAAATGATGCTGGTATGTAGACAAAAGTGAAATTGTTTTTTCTTAAACTCATAAGTAATGGAGTAACAAAATCCTAAACAGCTAACCAGAATAAAGTTCATTTTTACATTTGTACCAAAATGACTTGAAGGTTTTAGGGCATATGTGATACTAACTACCTGAAGGACAATAGTTCAGCAATTCCGTGGACATATCTGTATTGTACACAATAAACAACCAACTCTCGTATGACATAGTTGAAAAAATCATTTGACAAATAAATTCAAATAACCCCATCCTGATTGAAAAACATTTATAAACAAAAACTGGTACAAGGGAGAAGCTAAATAATCAATTCAGATAATTTGGGGGAATTGTGGCTAAAAGATCATGGATTTCACAATGCATACCCCTAGGAGCTCATGACCAAGCTCAAGCTCCTTGACATGTTGAATGTTTTCAAAGATTTCTTTCGTATTAGTGAGGACATCCTCATACATTGGACCATAAGTGTATCCAGCGAATCTAAACTGAGCACTAACAAGAGATGAAAGGTCAGTGAGCTTCAACTTCCTCTCTATAGGATACAACGAAAGAACCAAAGATTTTAGATAGGGTGCCGAGATCTCAAGGAAATTTTCACTTTCTTCTTCGTCGGAGTCATGCACTCGAAGCTTACAAAGATTTGGGGAGTTTATCTTCAAACAAGTAAATCCCCAACAAGCCCGCAGAGTCAAGATATTCAAAACTGAACAACATGATAGTACTTTTTCAACCACATTCTGAGGCAAATCCACACCCCAAATCTCTAATGAAGTCAAAGACTGCCACTCGATTTTTGTTTTAGGATTCAAAATGCATCCACTCAATGACAATGATGTCAAGGAAGGGTGTGAATACATCATGTCACAAAGAGTATAGAAATAATCCGTGGAGCTTAGGTTAAAATCAATTTTTTTCACCTCGTTTTTTGAAGCAAACTCAAGCCAGCTATCAACATCGGATGAAAAACATTCGAGGTAGGGGAACCTAACTGTCAACCTCTCCAGATACTTAGCATTACGAGTAGCAAGGGTCTTATGAACCCAAGCCACAAAGTCACTTATTTTCTTAGTTTCCTCACCACTGTTCTCCCAGAAATAGAACTCAAGCTTGGGCAACTCTGCCCAGAGATATCTCCATCTTTTACCCAAAACTGAACAACATGATAGTACTTTTTCAACCACATTCTGAGGCAAATCCACACCCCAAATCTCTAATGAAGTCAAAGACTGCCACTCGATTTTTGTTTTAGGATTCAAAATGCATCCACTCAATGACAATGATGTCAAGGAAGGGTGTGAATACATCATGTCACAAAGAGTATAGAAATAATCCGTGGAGCTTAGGTTAAAATCAATTTTTTTCACCTCGTTTTTTGAAGCAAACTCAAGCCAGCTATCAACATCGGATGAAAAACATTCGAGGTAGGGGAACCTAACTGTCAACCTCTCCAGATACTTAGCATTACGAGTAGCAAGGGTCTTATGAACCCAAGCCACAAAGTCACCTATTTTCTTAGTTCCATCATTACTGCTCCCCCAGAAATAGAAGTCAAGATTGGGCAACTCTGCCCAAAGATATCTCCATCTTTTACACAAAACACTCGTAATAGCAGCTTTCTCCAAACCCAGAAAAGAAAGGATGTGAATAACTAAGCACTCTGGCAATGCACTGAGCCTATCAATTGAACACTTAATCTGTTTATTGGAAGCATCATTATTCTCTGAAAGAATTTGCACATTATTAGCTCCGAAATCTCCTACTCCCCCAAAATCAATTTCTCCAGATGGTTTTGTTGGGTTGGGTAAGTTTTTGTCGCTCATGAAGTAGAAGAGCAACAAAATACAGGCTAATTCACATATAAAAGCTTGACTAACCACTGACCGAAGTGACGCCGGCAAAGCCGTTGTCCTACGCTTGCTTTCCCTTTTTCAAACGCTTGCTCTTGGACATGTGATCGTGAAATTAAGAACAATATAGGATTGGGTGAACGTCAAATAGGTACTCCCTCAGTCCCAATTTGGAAGATACATTTCGGTTTACGATGTTTGACTGACGATAAAGCAAATTGATCCCTGTCAACACCCAAATTAGTTCTAGAAAATATAATTTACATATTCAAAAACTACATTAAATCCGCTACAAAACCTGCAAAAAATAATTCAAACTTCATAAACTTTTGATATATAAAATAAAAGTTTAGAAGTGATTTATGTTGACCAAGTGAATAGTAAATGTATCTTACAATTTGGGACTGAGGGAGTACACGATGAAATACATGATGAAATACATGTACTGCCTTGTTTAACGGGCAGTTATGTTCAAAAAATTATTTGTCTGCCTTCCCAGTTTAATTTTCTGCTGAAATTTGGTATGGATAAGCTAGACTTAATGATGAAGATGCTCAAAAAATGTCACCAAAAACTTACACCGGGAACCGCCCCAATTGGCGACGGCTGGGCAAAACATACTATATAAGGGGCTAATTGAACACTTTAAGTTGGTTCATGTACCTATTTGACCCTTTAGCCATATAGGGTTTTTTGTCTTTCTGGGTGCCTTTGGTTCAAATTAGGGAAAGTTCCGAAATAGGAATAAAAAAGTTTGAAAATTCCAAAATAGGACTGTCATATTTTTATTCCCAAAATAGAAGTAATTCCTGCCAAGTTTGGAAAATATTGCCATGTTTGAAGTCTGGTACTGCCAAAACCTAATAGTAATTAGTCCTATTTTAGGGGTAAAAAACATAGCAGTCCTATTTTGGATTTTCTAACTCTTTTAGTCCTATTTTGGGTAATATCTATTCAAATTAAGAGTTCTTGCCTTTTAAAATAAGTTAAATAAAATTAATGTGTTGTGGAAGTGTAAACTTAAAGCACTTTATTAATAACCCATCTGGAAATACATAAATCTTTCCGCCGTTCAGCTGAAATTTATGAAATTCTCGCTCAATTAGTTGGATTGGCCGATTTTTTTACTGATTTATGAAAAATTATATTTAATATATATTTTATTAATAAAATGAAAGAAAAAAAGTCATGAAAATAGCTAAAATAGTCTTTTATAGTAACTTCAGTCAATACAACCAGAAAAACAACTTCAACCTTACTTTTTCTAATTATTACACATTCGCCGCGCGAAATCAAAAGTTACATGTTTAGTGTAAAAATTGATCAATAAGCCTAATAAATCGAAAAAAGGGATCACTAAAGAGGCTCTTTAGAGAGATTTGTTACGTTCCTAAGTGTTTAAAATTGATTTTGACTTTTTCAACTATATGTTTCATAAATAAATCACATTTTTTGACAAAGTAGTAACTTTTCTTTTCTCTAAAAGCATTTATATTACACTCGTAGAATATTTGTTATTTTATGCTTCCTTCCACATCAAATAAATATGTTGTTAGGACTTTTTTTATGCGGTTGAAGTATAACCGCATCAAATAGGTATTCGATTTGCACTTTTTGTTGCGTTTATACTTTTATCAACCGCATCAAATAGCTATTCGATTTGCACTTTTTGTTGCGTTTATACTTTTTGCTACGGTTATAACTACAACGGCATAAAAAAAGTGTAGTTTTTTCTAATAAGGGTAAAGGGTCAAATAGGCCCTCAAACTATCTTAAAAGTGCAAATCACCCCTTATATAAGAGGCTCTGTCCGGCCGTTGTCATTTGGGGCGGTTCCCGGTAGGATCTTTTGATGAAATGTTTTGAGAATCTTCTTCAATAAGTCTAGTTTACTCATACAAATTTTTAGATAAAAATTCAACCGGGAAGATAGTCAAATGATTTACTGAAATGTACTGTGTTGTTTAACTGCGCAGTTATCTTCAACAATTCATTTGACTGCCTTCCAGTTTGTATTTTTAGCTGAAATTTGGTATGAGTGAACTAGACTTAATGAAGAAGATGCTCAAAAAATAAGGGGTGATTTGCACTTTTTAAATTAGTTCGGAGGTCTATTTGACCCTTTAGCCAAAATAAAATACGTCGATCGTTGCATACATCTCAACAAAATATGTGGATTTTAACAAAAGAAAAACCTGATCTGATTACCAAGCACGGAACAAGGTGCATTTGAAATTATATAAAAAAAACTTTGTTTGCTACAGTTATAGCCGGACCACAACCAATGACTCTATTTGCGGCGCTTCCGGCTATAACCGCAACAAATAACACGATTTCTTTGATTTCTAAAAATGCACTTTGTTTCGCGCTCGGTTATTCAATTGAGATTTTTTTGAGATTATATTTTTTCTGAAGATCTATGTAATGATGTAAATTGAATGAGCTAATCATGTTTTTGCCTAATAATTTGATTTTCAAGTATCAAATTGCGAAAGAATAGTATTCATTAAATGCTCAAGTGCATACTTATAATATATTTTGAAAGTATTGTGCAAATAATTTTTTCCAAAATTATTAGATCTAAAAAAAAATTCATTCAAAAACACCTCAAGCGCCTATTCTCCCTCTTTGTCCTTTGAGAACCCAAAAAGCAAAGTATACACGCACAAGCTAAAATTTTACTGAATAATGTAGAAGAAATGAGGCAATGCCACTAACCGAAAGTTTCCTAAATTGCCTACATTGAGATCAAAAGATTTGGTTCAAGTGTTTTTTTAGTAATTCACACAAAGCACTAACAAAGTGACAACTACTTCCTATTATTGATTCATGTTTGCTAAAATTTCAATCATTAAAAGAGAAAATGAGAAAAATTAAAACATCAAAAGTTATGATATGAGAAAGAGACGAAGTTCGAATTATTTGGAGAAGGAAAATTAAGAAGGTGAAGAAAGAGAAATGGATTTCATTTTAAATTGTCGTGTGTGGGACTATATTTGCATCTTGAGAGGAGCCCTCGATCAACATCGACCTCTTTGTAGAGAACATGATAAATTTGAGATTCTAAAATAATTATGAGAATTTTCGTGTCTTTACATTGATAATGAGAAGTGTATATATACACAATATGTAAGCCCTAGGTTACTCGGCCCATACCAGTGAGAAAAGAGCTAAATACACAGCTAATGACAAAATAAAAATTATACAAGCCCATATTGGTTCTACACCCCCCTCAAGTTGGAGCATGCAGATCACAAATGCCCAACTTACGAAGAAGATAAAGAAATTGGTTCTTTCCAAGCGCCTTGGTAAATATATCCGCGAGCTGATCGTGCGTAGAAACATGGTGAGTAGTGAGCAACCCATCCTGCAAAGCGTCACGAACATAGTGACAGTCAACTTCAATATGCTTTGTCCGTTCATGAAATACCGGGTTTTGTGCAATATGAATAGCAGACTTGCTATCACACATAAGAGTCATGGGACGAGAATGGACAACGCCGAGACTAACAAGAAGACCCATAAGCCATTTGAGTTCTGCAGTAATAGATGCCATGGAACGGTATTCTGCTTCGGCAGAGGATCGGGACACAGTATGTTGTTTCTTGGTCTTCCAAGAAATAGGGGAGCTACCAAGAAAAACAACCCATCCAGAAAGAGAACGTCGCGTAAGAGGACAGCTAGCCCAGTCTGAGTCACACCATCCAGAAAGAAGCAAATCACACGATGAAGAGAGAAGAATACCCTGTCCAGGGCAGCCCTTAAGATACCGAACCACACGAAGAGCCGCATGCCAATGCTCTTGGTGCGGTGCCTGCATAAATTGGGAGAGTATATGGACAGCATAGGCGACGTCAGGACGAGTAAAGGAGAGGTAAATAAGTCGCCCGACCAACCTCCTGTATGGCTCTGCATCGGCCAAAAGTTCTCCATTAGCAAGAGCTAGACCGTGATGCTGTTCCATAGGGAACGAGGCAGGTTTAGCTCCAAGGAGTCCAGCCTCCGATATGATATCCAGGGTGTACTTACGTTGGCACAAATAAATTCCCTCAGCACTACGTGCAACTTCAACACCAAGAAAGTACTTAAGGTGCCCCAAGTCTTTCATATGAAAACAAGTATGCAAATAATGTTTAAATGCAGTGATAGCATCCGAGTCATTTCTTGCAATGATCAAATCATCCACATAGACAAGAACATGCAAGCTAATATTATCTCTGCACCACGTAAATAGAGAATATGCGGAGTAAGACTGAGTAAAGCCATATTTCCAAAGTGAAGCAGCAAGCTTCGCAAACCAACACCGGGGAGCTTGTCGCAGCCCGTAAAGAGATTTTCGGAGACGACATACCAGACCAGGCTGTGAGGTTCGAAATTTAGGTGGAAGTTTCATGTACACTTCCTCCTCTAAATCGCCGTGGAGGAAAGCATTATGTACATCCATCTGATGTTGTTCCCAATTCCTAGCCGCGGCGACTGCGAGAAAGACCCGCACGGTCACCATCTTCGCAACAGGAGCAAACGTCTCCGTATAATCAATGCCTTCCTCTTGATGATTACCAAACACAACAAGTCGAGCTTTGAGTCGTTCCACCGTACCATCAGAGTGATATTTAATTTTATACACCCACTTACTCCCAAGTGCCTTCTTGCCTGGGGGTAAGGGCTGCATATCCCAAGTATGATTATCTTCCAGAGCCTTGATTTCACTTTGCATGGCAGCACGCCACCCTGGATCAGTCATTGCCTCGCGGAATGAGTGTGGCTCCATTCCTGCTGTAATAGCACCAAGAAATGCCCGATGCCGGGCAGAAAACCGATCACATGATACAAAATGAGCTATAGGATAGGACATACCTGAGGAACAAGTCGAGCCAGGTGGAGACGGAGATGGGCTCAAGTGCTGCACGTGATGTGTCACAAAGTTGTGAAGCAAAACCGATGTTCGCTTTTCACGCAATCCGCGGCCTAGAGAGATGATAGGCTCGGCCTCCCCATCCTGAGATTGCCCAGCCTCAGCTGATGAAGATAATGTCGCGGTAGGGGAGGTGTGTGTCTCAATGGAGGAGGATGGCAAGTCCTCATCTATCAATGGTGCCGTGGGAACTGCCTCAGAAACATCCTCATCAGTAGGTGC